CAGCAGGAGGAAAGCACTTGGGAGAAGAAAGATTGGTCTGCTGCCTCTGTCTTTGTGGGTTTTGTGTGTGTGTGTGTTGTGTTTCAGCTGATGGACATGGAGCCAGTGACTGAAACGTCTCATAGTATGTGTCCAGGGGTCATCTCCTCCACATCAGCTTCTTCCACAATAAGTTCGCTAGGCTTTAAGGTGCCTTTTTGGGTTTTTTTTTCCCTTTTAACTGGCTAACTCTTCCAGAAGCTCTTAAGGGATTCTTGGTTGACTGTTCCTGTATATCAATGGATGGCCGCAAAAATAGTTTCATTTTCACAAGGCTTTTGCCTAAAAGTTCAAACTGAGTATGTCTATGGCCCAACTTTTGTTCCACTCCCCAGTGGTGTCTGTATCCCCATATTACACTGGGTAACTCAGTAACTTCACCGGCCGTAAGGGGACTGTGCCCTTCTGGGCTGTCAGGAAGTGCTTAAAGACCTCTTGGCTGGTTCACATGTGCCCAGATAACTTTGATGGCTCTTGTGCAGCAGCTAACCCATGTGAACTGACACTCTCCCCCCAATTGGATTGCACATGACGTGGTTACGGTACTTCTTTCTTTGGCATTGCATCTGTGATGGCATGCGGGATTTCTGCCTGCTTATGGAAGCAGTGCTGCAGCTCAGGGTTTTGTTTTGGACCGTCTTGATAAGACGTGCAGGGATGATATGAAGATCTCCTGTGTGAAGACTTATGGGACTGGAACTTCCTAGAAGGAAGGGCCGGGGCATAGTTAGGCAGAATGATGACGGTCCAGGACATGGAAAACCACTGCCCATCTTGCTTTGTCGGCAGTCTTAAATATTCATAATTTGCACAATAATAAGCCAAGCACATGAAGAATGATGTCAGGTTAGTAATGTCTGACTCCACAAAGTGACACGTCTCTGCCTGGTTCCATTTTTATACAGAGGTTTTTACCTGCGTGCATTTCATGGGGGGCCCTGGGTTCAGTTTAAAGAGGCTAATGAAACAAATGAGTGGTGGTTTATATTCCAGTCTTATTTTGAACCAGGTTTGAGGATACAGTTATTTTTACATTTAAACAGTCCATAAAAAAAAAAGAGCCTGGTTTAATTCCCCCCCATTATTGTCTCCATGCACGCTGCATTCAAGCAATCAGTTGCTTTTGTCTTCAGGTGACGAGCCTGCCAGTGTGAACCGGCTGTAAGGGGCTGGTGGTTTCTTGCAATTATTTTTGAAATGTGTCTGTAACTCTCTGTATAAATAGAAGGTCTCTGTGTGACTGAGAGTGGGCTGGTGCAATCTGTCAGAAAAGGGCAACAGCAGGGAGAAGGCCGTCCTTCAGTGCCTCCCTCTATTGAATCAGAGCAGATCAGGCCTTCCAGCCCGGAATTGTCTCTTTCGGCTGGCAGTGGCTCTCTGGGGTCTCGGGCGGCAAAAGGTCTTCCCCCCACAACCTCCTAACTGAGATGGTGGAGATGCCAGGGACTGGACCCAGGACCTTCTGCATGCAAAGCAGGGACGCGTCGCCTTTTCTGAATCGCTCGTTTTTTTGCGGGTTGCACCTTGCAGATCGCCGTCCAGAACCCGCTAGTCTCAGAAAGGATGGAGCTGTCGGTCCTGTACAAAGAATACGCTGACGATGACCATGTCTATCAGCAGAAGATCAAGGTAAGCACGATGGCGGGCGGCTTGTGTGCCCAGCTGCGTGTTCTTGCCAAGGGGCAAGAGAGCAGCGTGGGCGGCTGCTTGGGAAATGCTCCTGACAGGTGCATCCGGACCCGCTCCGGGCTGCTCTGTGGCAAGACCAGCCCCTTACTCCAGGCTGCATGGCCCCTGCATTGCAAGATTCCATCCCCCCCCAGAGGATGTGAGTGGTGCGTGGGAGGCTTTTGAAAGAAATGGCCTTTGGAAAGAAATTAAGGAGGGAAAGAATATAAGAAAAGTGTAGCTGGATGAGAGCGAAGGTCGGTCGACTGCAGTGTCCCGTTTCCAAATGTGGCCAGACAGAAGGCTCAGGGAAGCGTCCCAGCCGGGCGTGTCAAGGTGGCGTCCTTCCCCTCTTTCTTGTCACCATCACCTGTTTCTCAGAGGTATAATGCCTCTGAATGTGGTGGTTCCCTTTAGTTGTCGTGGCTGGGCCCTGCCCTGCCCTGCCCTGCCCTGCCCTGCCTGGATTTATCTTATCCCCTCATAAAGCCATCTAAGCCAGTGGCAGTATCCTGTTTTGTCTCAAATTCCATAAGTCAGCAATGCCTTGTGCAGGGAAGAAAAAGCTTCACTCTGTATGAGATTTTTGTCATTTTCTATCGCATCCCCCCACCCCCCCTGAAAAGCCCTGGACTCTTCCGTCTTTGCTCACTGCTCCAACCTTTTAGCCATTTAGTTTGCCCTTTTCCGCATGCTTTTCAGCTCAACAGACTGTAATTTGGGGGTCCATGAACTCCTGTTAGGCAATTCAAGATGGCTTCTTCGTGTGGTGGAGGGGAAAGGATTTGGGGGCCTGAGGACCATAGATTGGATTGGAGGTGCAAGAGCTGGCTGCTTCCCCCAAAATGGTCAAGTTATGAAGTGGATGGTTGTCTTTAGGGGTGAAGGGGTTGTGGGGGTTGCAGGCAGAGGCAGGGTCTTTTCTGTGGTGGAACTTAGGGCATTCCCATTGTTGGCTGTTAACTGATTTTACTTATTATTGTTTTTCTTTTCTGTGTATGTGTTTTTGTAAGCTGCTGTCAAAGCTGGAAATAAATTTCTCAAATAAATGAATAACGTGTCGTCCCTGCTTACACTATTGCCATAGGGCAGATTGGAACCATCCACAGGTAATAGGTTCATGTTGCCATCTGTGAGCTGCTGAGTTACCCGTTTGTTCTCTGTTTCCCCCGTACCCTCCTGTAGGATTTGCTGAAAAAGTATGCGTTCATCCGGAAGACAAGGCCGGACGGCAACTGCTTCTATCGGGCCTTTGGCTTCTCCCACCTCGAAGCTCTGTTGGAGGACAGCAAGGAACTGCAGCGGGAGGCCATGAACCGGGGAGGAAAGTGGGCAGGGGAGGGAGAGGTTTGGGGCAGGGAAGGGGCTTAGCTTGAGTTGTCAAGCTGGGTTTCAACCTGTGGCGGCACTGCAGGCTCGGACCTCGGTAGGCTCTGTAGTGTTTCTGCAGCGCACCTAGCTGGATGCAACTAAAGGCAGGCTAGAAGTGATGTAGGCTCACCAATGCTGGGCCTGCAAAGTCCCGAACTTGTCCCGCCCCTTGAGGAAGGCCACCCAATGGGCGGGGGCTTTAAAAAGAGGGTTGTCAGCTACCTTCCTCATCTTTGCTGGTCCCTCAACTCCCGGGGGGCTGGCAAAGCCTGGGCCTGCCTTTACTTCGGTCCTTCCCGCTTTGGTAGGTTCCACTGTCTATGGCTGGGGACAGTGCTGGTTCATCAGAGGCCCAGCAGCATTGTCTCACCTCCCACCTGGTGTTGTTTCCACGGGTCAGGTGACCCAGGCATACTGCAGAGCAGCTGCGGGAGAGCTTCCCCCAGGTGGCCACATTTGGGGCCCAGATTGAAACACACACGGCAGCCTTGGGCTGAGAGCGGGTTCCTTGGGTGACTTTCAGTGCTGTGATCGGATTCTGTCATTCCTCTCGTTGCACGCAGCTTCAAAGAGGTGGCCGCCAAAAGCAAAGACGTGCTGGTGTCTCTAGGCTTCACAGAATTCACCATCGAGGACTTCCACAACACAGTAAGGCCGGCTTCTCTCCTCCCATCCGCCACCCCACCCCTCTCAGCACATCTCGAATAAGGAGGCGCCAGAAGTGTTGATGGGATAGGGACTCTGGTGGCTGTCAGACGCAGGAGAGACCTTTGAACCCTCATTCTCACTCGGTGAAAGGAGTGTGGGTTCCTTTCCCTTAGTCATCCCCGGCCAGTTTGGTGTAGTGGTTAGGAATGCGGACTCTAATCTGGGAGAACCGGGTTTGATTCCCCACTCTTCCGCATGCAGCTGCTGGATGACCTTGGGCAAGCCACAGTTCTCTCAGAGCTGTTCTCTGAAGAATAGTTTTCTCAGAGCTCTCTCAGCCCCACCTACCTCACAGGGTGGCTGTTGCGGGGAGAAGAAGGGATGGAGATTGTAAGATGCTCTGAGACTCCGAGTGAAGGGTGGGGTACAAATCCAATCTCCTCCTCCCCCCTGTGTGGGGTGTCTGTTGTCCACTTCTAGTCCTTTCGGAAAGTGTGATATCCATGGAGACAGGTGACGGAGAAGGTTGTAATGGTTCCCCATTTCCTAAATGTGGGGAAGAGAGCCAGAGTCCCCTTTAGAGGTTTGTTCCTGTTCCCTCTTCCCTTTCTTTCCTAGTGCTGACATCCAACACTCCCTCTAAGTTGTGGAGTCTTGTGAGCAAAACATTCTACTTTGTGAGCTACTGGCATTAAAGTTGTGAGCGAGCGAGTTGGCTACGGCATCAGTGAGTCTGCTCTGGAGCCCTCCTTCCTGAGCGAAGGCAAAAATGTGTGAGCCGGAGGCTAAAAGACTGTGAGCTGGCTCACACTAACTCAGCTTAGAGGGAACGCTGCTGACATCAGCAGAAGGTTGGATGCTAACTGTGGTTAGTGTTCAAGCTTTGGTTTTGGATATCTGAACACACATGAACACACATGCAGCTGCTGTAGACTGAACCAGACCCTGGGTCCATTAAGGTCAGCACTGTCTACTCATGCTGACAGCAGCTCTCCAGGGTCTCAAGTCTTTCATATCACCTACTGCTTGGTTCTTTCGACTGGAGAGGCCAGGGGTTGAACCCTGGGGGATCTTCTGCATGCCAAGCAGATGCTCTACCAACCGAGCTCTCTCCTGCATGCCGAGCAGATTACCTACCAACATGGAGGGCAGGTGTAGCTGTGATTGCTAAATGGAACCTCCATGTCCAGGGGCAGTCTACCTCTGGATACCGTTTGCTGGGGGAGAAGCGACAGGGGACAGCTCTGTTGCCATCTTGCCCCGCACTTGGGTTTCCTGGAAAGAGCTGGGAATTTAGTGCTGCGCTTGGGAGGCCCGTTGTCTGGTTCAGGGGGATGGGATTTCGTATTCGTGTCAGTCGTTAAGTGTCGTGAGGTAGTATGAAGCAGGTTGGCAAGAACAGCAGAGGGGGCTCTCCTTATGTGCTCCTTGGAAGCATCTGAGTTGGTTGCCTTGGGAGTGGGGTGGTGAACGAGGCGGCCCCATGGTCTGGCCTGGCCTGGCCGGGCTCCACTCCATCCCCCAGCTGCTGGGGCATGGCAGCCTGACAGAAAGCAGCCTCTGGACACCTCCCTCCAAAGAAGGGAGCTTCTGCTGACTAGTCCGGCTGGCTTCTGCCAACTCCTTTCAGTGCTTAACCCCAACCTGCCTTCCTTATCCCGTCTGCTGTGGAAGTGTGTACTCTGCTCTCCTGATATCCTAGCGTAGCTTTGATAAAATACAACCCAGGCTCTTTGAAAATGAGGGGGGGAGCCGTTTGAGCGGGGGACTGCCTTAGCTTCTTTTGAGGCTTCTGTGAGGGAGCAGTTTAGGTGTGTCTTTGTGTGTGTGTGTGAGAGAGAGAGAGAGAGAGAGACCAACCAAAGGGCTTCAGCCAGCAGCCTTGCCTCTGACAAATTCAATCTCCAACTGCCTTTCGCCACAGCTGCGTCAGAAATAAGCCCGAGGAAGTGTCTAGCACAGTGGTCTCCAATGCAGTGCACACGGGCACCATGGTACCTTGCCAGCATCTTTCCTTAGAACGTCGGAGGGGTCAGGTGGGGCCTTTGCCCATCAGGGTTTCTGATTCCCCATTGTCGACCTCATTGGCTGTGCAGATGAAAAAAAATTATTTGGCAGCAGCTGCCACCACAGCACAAACGTCTTCACTGCACAGCTGAAGCTGTATATAAGCAAGAAAATGCTTTTTAACAGTATGTTCATTTCAGAAGGCACCGTGTTAAAGGGAGCTCCTGCTTGAAATGTCGAAGAGCTGCTTTTAAGAGTCACGCACCACCTCACTCCCTGATATTTTGTGTTTGTGGTTGCACCCACTTCCCTGTGTCAGAATTCCAAAGGTCCCTGCGGGCCCAAAAATGTCGGAGACCCCTTGCTTGTTACCTTGGAACTACTTCGGGAAGGCAGTGGCATTGGCAGTTTCCCTTCCTCCTCCCACAA